GCCATATGATACGGGGCTTTAGATACTGGACCGGCCCCTGGAATGAGATCAATAGAGAACTCCACCTGACGGTTGGGCGGTCATTCTGGAAGCTCGTCTGGGAACACGTCCACAAACTCGCGAACAATCGGAACATCATGAGGTGTTCGCGCTTTCTGAGAATCATCGACAAGACTAACCAGATAACCCTGGCAGTTGCCTCGTCGCAATAACTTAGTGGCTTTCGCCAGCGAAACAACGTGAGGCAGTGAACGATTCCTGGAACCGAAGAAAGTAATCGACTCGTCTCCCGGAAGATAGAGAGTGATCTCCCGGTCATGACACCTGATGTCTGCATGATAGAAGGATAGCCAATCCATCCCGAGAATAAGATCGAAGTCTCTCATCTCGAGAACAAACGCGTCGGCAGTCAATACTCGGCCACCGATAGAAAGGCTAAGATCTGAGGCTTTACCTGAGGTCACTATCTTCCGTCCCGAGGCTAAACTCACCTCGAGAGGATCGACAGCGGTAACGGCGTGAACTCCGATGGCATCGAGACATCGTCGTGAAATGAAAGTATGTGTCGCTCCAGTATCGAATAAAGCAAACACAGGAATATTATTGAGAACAATCATCCCTGACATAGTACCTGGCTGCTGAGCTGCCTCTGCCTGGTCAACAGCGTAAACTCGGGCCTGCTGTCTGCCCCTCTGCTGCTGCTGCTGAGGCGGCCTCTGTGCCTGCTGACGTGGCTGCTGCTGCTGTGGTGGTTGCTGAGGCTGCTGAGGCTGCTGCTGGAGTCTCTTCGGACAGCGACTAGCAAAACGTCCCGACTCGTGGCAGTAATAGCAGATGTCCTGTCCCACATGGCACTCTCCTCGATGAAGTCGACCACAAGTCGGGCATGGTGGAATCGGCTGCTGTCTCTGTCGGGTCCTCCGCTCAATCTGTGCACCCTTTCCCTTCCTCTTCTTCTCCTTTGCTGGTTGAGGGGCTGGTAGAGCTGGTGGAGCTGCGAATGGCTGAACTGGGGCGGATGGCTGGGCACGATCACGAACTGTCTCCCTCCTGATGCTAGCGTCCACCTCCTGGGCGATAGAAACTGCACGAGCGTAGGTCTGAGTCCCGTGTCCCACGATGTTGTGACGGACTGCTGGGAAAAGTCCGTCGATGAACCGCTGCGCTCTCTGAGCCTCCGTGCGAACAAGATCTGGTGCGAAAGCTGCAAGTCTAGTGAACTCTCGCTCGTACTCATCAACAGTACGAGTGCCCTGCTGAAGCGCTAAGAACTGGCGCTCCATCTCCGCCCGATAGTAGGAAGGGTAGTACTTATCGCGGACTAGCTCCTTGAACATGTCCCATGTACAACCCGCTTTTTCACCAGGACCCATGCTCCAGTAGGCATTTCACCAGAGCCTTGCATCACCAGTGAGCTGAAGCTGAGCGCAAACTAC